TTTTTTTTTTTTTTTTTTCTTTTTTTTTTTTTTTTTTTTTTTTTTTTTTTTTTTTTTTTTTTTTTTTTTTTTTTTTTCCTTTTTAGAAGTTCATTGTTAACACTTTCCTAGAAATAGCCTTTCCGGCCGTAATAAAACGGCATTGTACAATCCAAAATCCTTGGGATCCCCGACGCCAGAGATAGCCCTTGCAGGCGGAGCCGTATCCCAGAGGAAAATGCCCCGGTCTCTCGGTGGACATGCACTTTCCTAGGGGGAAATGTTTAGCGAAGTTTTGGTGTTTGTTTTCCTTGGCATGAGAGGGCTCCTTGCCCGAGCCCGCACCAACCCCGAGCCCATTAGGCTCCATGCGAGGCGCTTTAACCCCTCGCAATTACAGTGAGGCCGAACTCAGAGAATGTGAACGGGTCATGGGGACCAGGGTGCGCTGTTAATTTTGGAAAATTATATCTATACACAAGAACACGGAAATGCAACTTTCTTCCTTTTTTTTTTTTTTCTTGAATCATTGTGTAATTGTGATGATTCTGTGCGAGTCTTAACCTCTTCTATTTTTCCTTTTTACCTTTTCTCAGTTATATTCCTCTAGATAGAAAAGATTGAGAGCTATTTCCAAATGTGTTTGGGCTTGTCCTTTACATAGAACGAAAAGGGCATTTGCTTATTTTCCGATTAAAATATAAATGCGGCAGGAATCCGCCGAAAGATAATTGTGCAGCATAAATGCCGAGGCTGAAGGTTGAACTGGCCACCGATATACACGCTAAAATCTCATCACACCCAGGCACCTTTGTGTGCACAAAAATATGGAAATACAATAGGAGAAGGGCTGGTGTTTAGGGCGAAGCTGAGCATACGGTCGGTGCTAGTGTGCGATACTTACGCTCAGAAATAACACCTTTGAAGAAAAGATCAGCGAGCTATTTTGTTTATTTTATAGGCTTTCATACTTAGGGAAAAGCATAATGTCATCAGTATGTCGTGTCTGTCCCCTTACCTCGGTCAAAAAAAATCTAGAGAATCTGAGCCCAGACGCCGACTCTTTCTATGAAAATACGGCACATAGAAATCTGGGCAACTTGACAGTCGCTTTATTAAAAGAAGAAAGATCACAATATCGTACCCAATTTTTTTTTGTCTTAAATAAAACTATTCTTCAATGTCCCTGCAATTTAACAGCTTGGCATAAAATATACAGTCAGTGCGTTTAAAGACACCCTAAATAAAATGGTGAAATCAAGTAAATCAAAAGAAATTTACCAAAAGCTTCCTGGGTTCCAGCCTATTTTAAAAATAAGACATTTCTCGCAATACCTTTGTTACTGAAGGCATCTGCAAAATATCTGGCTTCTTTCGTACCCCTCTCCCATCCCCCTCACTTAATGGGACACAAACACAGCAAATTGCAACTATGAGAATGCTCGGCACAGCCGAGACAAAAACATAATCATATCACCAGTAATAAGGTTCAGGGAGATAAGGCAGTGAAAATTAAGCCCTGCTGCCACGTCTGGTAACCTCCAGTTTTTAGCCCTGACATTTGCTAGAGGAGAAAACTGTAATGTCCACCTATGCTTTATTACAAACAGTAATTTACATCTGCATGGACCCATTGGTTGGGGCATTTTTTACCCTCGTTCTGAAAATATGGGGCTCTGAGAGCAAAACCTTTATATTAATGTAGATTGTATATCTCATTTATTGCACAATATTGATTTATTTATTAATGTTAATTACTTTATTCCATTTTAATATGATTTAAAACAATAGTGACATTAAATGCCCAGAGCCTAAGTCCCCAGTTCCCCAATGGCTCTCGCATGTTTATTCAACTTCTATTTACATCAAACTTAAACTTTCTACTGTTCATTTTCAATAAAAAATTGCTGCCCGTTTTTAAATCCCTCATGATTTACCGTGAGCGAAGGGTCTTATGGAGCCGTGTGCCAGTCCTGAACGCACTATTTAAATTACTATAATCACAACAGTCATCTGAGTTTCCGTGTAGTGACATGCATGAAATTAATATTTTCAATTACAAAAAATCAAAGAGCCCTCATGTCTAATCAGGAGCCCAGAATTCAGTTCCTCCAGCAGCAGCAGCAGCAGCAGCAGCAACAGCAGCAGCAGCAGCAGCAGCAGCAGCAGCAGCAGCAGCAGCGAGGCCGGCGTGGAAAGCAGCTCAGCATTTGCTTATTGTTTTAACTTTACTGTTGGGCGAATCCCGCCGCAAAGCTCTGGGCTGATACTTTCAGCCGGGATATTTCTGGGACCCCTTTTCTTACAGTGTAAATAAAGATTATGAAAGAACCATTTGATGGGCATAAAATTCCTGATTAGATTTAATAGTCAAGCCTTAAACTGCGTCAAGAAAAATAGTATTTTGTTTCTTTAAACTCTGTGGGTTGTCCAGGCTGTTGTTGAAGAGGAGGAAATTGCTAGAAGGCGAGCGGGGGGGGGGACGCGGCGCTCGGAGGGAGCGTCGTGGGCTCCGCCGCGGCTTCTTCCCCGGCGAGGCGAGTCTTAGCCATGGCTCTGATCATGATCTTTCGTGGCCAGCGCGCCGCAGCGCCCGCCGCTCGCTCAGCCCGCGGCGCCGGCCGAGCGTGCCCGGGGCGGGCAGGGCTGCGCCAGGCGCAGGGGACGCTGCCGAAAGAGCCTGCGAGCAGCGAATATTACGAAGGTAATATTTAAACTCTCCGGCAGCCCAGGAGCTGGAGACTGCAGCTATAAAAGACGCTGGCTCTTAACCTGACAATGATGTTGTATTTGAACAGCTGCGATAAGGTTTTAAAAGGTCTGTCTCATTGCCACCGCGAAATTTTAAATAGGCTTATTGTTTCCAGCGGTCTAAAGTGTACGGTAAAGTACAAAAACGTCCAAATGCCAGGAAACAGAGGAAAATTCAAACCCACGCTGGTGGAAAACGCATGTTTGTAAGTGTGCGAAAGACGCATTTAAATTTTTTAAAATCCTTTCACGTGCTGCCTGCTCTTGGGAATCTGAAAGGGTGTTTTGATGGTAGAAAGGCCCAAAATAAACAGGCGAATGAGTCCCAAACAAAAATTATCAACAAGTTCACTTTGTGTGGATGAGGGTCCTTGACAACATTAGTCCCAGATAAGAAATACTCCAGTTTGAGAAAAAAAAAAAAAGGAATAAAAAAAGAAAAGAGAAAGGAAACTAAAAGATAAAGAGTAATAAACAGTTTCTACCACCACTATTTAAAATGTAGTAGCTGCGGGTGCAAATACGGCTAAGGAGTGGGAGGAAAAACAATAAAACACGTTTCAAATGTTGGGACAGAAAAGTCTGATCTGCCATGTAGACAGTTACTGTTGCCTTCTGTTGGCTGCTTTCTTTGCTGTTTGTTTGCTTTATGATACAGATGCATTCATCATTCTTATTAAAAAAACACCGAAAAAGTTGCTTAAAGGAGTTAAAGGAGTTGCAGTGAGGATATGAGTTTCTGTATGTTTTTTGATGAGCAACACTACAGAAGGAGAAATTTCCTGAATTTCCTTTATGATGCTTTCGGTTTGCAGGGCAAGAGAAAAACCCACTTTTTTTTTTTTTTTTTTTTTTTTTTTTTTTTTTTTTTTTTTTTTTTTTTTTTTTTTTTTTTTTTTTTTTTTTTTCCCAGGCGGTCGGGAGAGAGCATTGTAAAATAATTTTAGGAATGTGGCTTCCCTATAAAATTCGAGTTATGACAAAAGTCCACCTTTTAATATTTGACGATTTGTGTTAAAACAAAAATTGACCTTCTCGGTTAGCAGCTAGGAAAAAAATCAATAGTATAATTTTCAATAATTCATAACGCGAACGCCATTATGCTAAATCTTAACTATTAATCTTATCCTTTACAAAGTCTCGATTGATTTGTTAATAAAATATCTTCCCGTGCGCGGCAACAGAGGGTATAACTCTTGAAAAAGCTTCAGAAGCAAGAAAATTACCGAGTAGCCCGAGAATGTAGATGAGGGTTTTATTGATCGCCCCTGATTCTCCTTAATACGCATTAATAAATCCCGCAACCTTTTGTCCCCGCACTTGTCAGCGGCGGGGCTTTTACAGGAGCCATGGCGGGCAGGCGCGGTTTTGCGCCGCGCCGCTCCGCTCCGCTCCGCGCGTTCGGCGGGCGGGCGCGGAGGCTGCGCGGGCGCGGCGCGGGGGGGCGC